TTCATTCACTCATTCATTCATTCACTCATTCACTCACTCATTCATTCTCCACAGGTATTTGAGTTTTTTTTTTAAATGCAGCCTTTCTTTAAAAATAATATAAGACAAATCCCAGTTCTCATAATTCCCTAGCCCTAGTGGACTGGAAGACAAACCAGTAAAGAAAGCCAGAAGGTAAATCAGGTGTAGGGCATAATCACTAAAGGAATAGAAACAAAAGAGTCAGAGTGTGAAGGTCGGGGGGCATCACCCCCACACCCATCTACACTAAGTGTGAGCAGGGATCTGAAGACAGTGAGGCAGGGCCATGCTGACACCCAAGGAGAGGGACCCATAAGGAGGAAATGACAAGAGATGGACACAGAGTGCATGGAGGTAATGTGCTGACCTCCACCAAGTAGGGCAGGGAGACCCTCACCCACACACCTCAGCTGAGCAATGGACACAGCTGCTCAGGACACAGGGCGCCATCTTAGTCAATATAAAAGTCCTAATACTGATGGATCTCTCTTCCCTTCCAGCCTCTCATTTCATCTGTGGGCGTCCTTATCAACCTGCACAGCTCACTATCGAATCAGTGCCACCCCGTGTGGCTGAAGGCGGAAGCGTTCTTCTCCTTGTTCACAATCTCCAGGATAAGCTTCGAGGGCTTTCCTGGTACAAAGGGGCATCTGTGTCTAGGAAATTTGAGATTGCCCGACAGATAATAGCCAAGAATTCAAGTGTGCTGGGCCCCGCTCACAGTGGTAGAGAGACAGTGTACAGCAATGGATCCCTGCTGCTCCAGAATGTCACCGGGAATGACACCGGATTCTACACCCTACGAATTCTGAGTAGACATCGGAAAATGAAATTAGCACATGTGCAGCTTCAGGTGAACAGTAAGTGATTCTCTGGGATCATTCATTGCTGGGTGGGGCTTTGGCACACAGGACTGTCACCACTGGCATGTGGCTATGACCCCTTTTCACTGTGTCTTCATTTTTGGGGTTGACCACCTGTGCAGGACACATATGGAGAGAAATGCCATAAATCAGACTCCATCGTCTGACTCTCTCCTGTATCAAGGAGGACCTTGACAGAAAATAACTCAACCCTAGATGCCAGACCCTGCCCAGTCTTCTGGGGACTCTTGCCATGCACTTGAGGAAACTGAGGCATCCTCAGAGTGATGAGCACAGGAAGCTCCGGCCTTAGTCATCTGTCCCAGGCATGACTGCAAATGTCTCTGGGGAGCATTTTGTCAGAAGTGCTGCTTACTGCCTGTCTCCTCACAGCTTGCCCATCCTGATCCTATAGCACCTAGGACACTGAGCCCAGAGGTGGAAATGCTGGCAGTGGACTGGGCTCTCCCACATCAATCACCAATTAAAAAATGCACTATGGGCTTGCCCACAGGCCATTCTCATGGTGGCGTTTTAAATTGAGGTTCCCTCTTTCAAAAGATTCTAGCTTGTGTTAAGTTGACATAAAGCTAGCCAGCATAATTTCTGAGCCCTTCCCAATACCTGGGCCTGTCAAGACCAGACTGGTCCCAGCCATCACCCAGCCTTAGTCTTGGGGCTGCAGGCTGAGCATTAAGACATCTAGAAGGTGATGACAGAGGCTGAGTGCAGGTACAAAGGAAATGAGAAAAGTCAGAAAGTGAACATCCAGGGTGTGTAGAAACCAAGGTCAGAGGGAGGCATCATCTCAAAGCACGGTGTGCATGAGTGTGTGCAGTGTCTGACCGAGGGCAGTGAGGGGGCAGCCATGGAGACACTGAGGAGAGAGCTCCACGCAGAGGAAATGACAGATTCCAGGTCACTGAGGAAATGGAGGCCATGTTGCTGACTTCCATTGGGTGGGTAGACCCATAACACCTGCACCTCTAGGCTGAGTGAAGAATCCATCTGCTCATGATGCAGACTGCCATCTTTACACCAAGCACAGTGATCCCATGTGATTTTCTCTTTTCCCTTGCAGCCTCCCTTTCCACGTGCTGTGACCCTGCTACCTCTGGCCCACTCATGATCGATCCAGTGCCACGGCACGCTGCTGAAGGGGAAAGCATCCTTCTCCGTGTTCTTAATCTGCCAGAAGATTTCCAAATTTTTTGCTGGTACAAAGGAGTGTCTACCTTTCAGGTCTTTAAAATTGCAGAATATAGCAGACCCAGGAACTCCATCACCAAGGGGCCTGCACAAACCAGAACAGCGACAGTGTACACCAACGGATCCCTGCTGCTCCAGGATGTCACTGAGAAAGACACGGGCTTGTACACACTACAGGTGATAGACAGAAATTTCAAAATTGAAAAAGCACATGTGCAAATCCACGTGAACAGTAAGTGACTATCTGTGGCTTCCAGTTTCTGGGTGTGTCTTACCCTACTTCATAAGTGGATGGTGAGGACTGGGCTGTGCCTGCTCTCCCCCCACTGCACTGTGTCCTCACACTGGGGTTTGGATGCTTACTGCAGGGCACACATGGGGTGGACCAACAGCATTAGATCAGAACCCTTCCCCTGTATTTACCTGCAATGAGGAAGGCCTGTGCTGGGTAAACTCAGATCAAGGATGTCAGACTCAGTCCTGACCCTTGGGTCTCTGACCATGCACATGGCCCTGAGGAAGACTCTGTGGGGGTCAGTCAAGCCCTGCCTGAAGAATTCCAGATCCTCACAGAGAGTACTAGAAAATCCTGTTTAACCTCCAGGGGATAGTGTTTTTTTCACTGCTTGATTTTTGGATTCCTGTTGGAGCTGACATGGGACAAGGCTTTACTGGCA